CTCTAACAAAGATGTAGATCCTTGATGGATTTTATGGTAACGGATGTGGATGTGGACAGGAAAGAGAGCTGGAGGGGGGCCACCGCCAGCTAAAAAACCAATATACAATCCTGTATATTGTCAGGAACAAAGCACAAAGAAAGCAAGAGACAAAGAAGAAAAAAATCAGCTTCTTGATGTCTGGAAAGGGGTGAGAGACATACTTTTCAAGCCAAATAGATTATGTAGTGTTAAATTGGTCTGGCTGTTTAGAAAGCTGAAAAGTTCTCTTGGTGCAGGAAGCTAGCAAATTCACTTTGAGATAGCAATTAACTATTTATGTGCCATGTTTATGGGAGGTATCAAGCAATCCTGCTTGCTGAAGAATTTTTTCCTGCAGACCAATTTTAAATCCATCCAACCTATGAGTGTAAACTCATCCTGGAGATTGTTTATGCCAGTGAAGATATTTTTGGAAACTATAGTGGTGCAAATAACAACCAAACGTAACTGGAGAATGAAAGCTGCATGAAAACACTTACCAGGAAAATCAAAGCCATAATATAAGGGGTCTCAGAAAATCCAAATTCAACAGTTGCTATTAACACCAGAACCAGACCACCGCTTGCAGAGCCTAACCATAACTGGAAGTAACAGGATTTTGCAGAATCTGGATCCCTAATTTTGCTCTGATGGCAAAATCCTTGTATGAAGTAACCAAGGGCCCAGAATATTCAGAGATGAATTAGGAAACAGAACAACAAGAAGCATTTGGAAAAATTAAAAGACCTTATAAGAAGTACTTGCTTTAGGATTGCCAGATGTGACCAAGCCCTTTACCCTGTATGTGCATGAGAGGGAGGGAATCATAGAATCATAAAATCATAGAATCATAGAGTTGGAAGAGACCACAAGGGTCATCCAGTCCAACCCCCTGCCATGCAGGAACTCAAAATCAAACCATTCTCGACAGAGGGCCATTCAGCCTCTGTTTAAAGACCTCCAAAGAAGGAAACTCCACCATACTTTGAGTGAGAGTGTTCCACTGTCAAACAGCTCTCACTGTCAGGAGGTTCCTCCTAGTGTTGAGGTGGAATCTCTTTTCCTGTAGCTTACATCCGTAGTTATGACTCCTATTCTTTGGAGCAGCAAAAAACAAGCTAGCGCCCTCCTCAGTATGACATCCCTT